ACTTCTAAAAGAGTTGTACAATATTCTTTATGTTGAGGATGAGGTTCAAAGGAGGGTAAGTCTCATTTATAATGAGTTTCTTGAGTTATATGTATTTTATTAAAAAAAATACACCTTATGGTTCTTCCTTTTATTCTTCTATCCAAAGTAATACATCCTTAGGCAGAAGTGACTCAAGTTCCAATCGACCTCAAACATTTAGAAAATCAGATATATTTCAGGTTAGTTATTACAATTTTAAGTTGAATTTTATCTTATTTATTTCCTATTTTCATTTACTAATTTTTGTCTTATATTTTTCAGACTTTTGATGCCAATTTAGCTGCTTCAAGGAGTGGACGATCTGATGTTGATTCTTAGATCAGTTTGCCTCTTGTCCCTCATACTGGAGAAACTGACTTTGATATTTTAGATTATTGGAAAAATCAAAGTATTTCATATCCGGTAATTTCTCGCATGGCGAGAGATATATTAGTTATTCCAATTACGTCTGTTGCATCTAAATCATCCTTTAGTATGGGGGTCGAATTTTGAACAAATTAAGAGCTAAACTCTTACCTAAAAATATTGAGATTTTTGTAATAACCCGTAATTGGTTGTATGGTTTTGAGTCAGAGGATAAGGATGAAGAATACCTTACTGTGATTAACGAGTATTCTATGTAAAGGTAATCCAAATTGTTTTTTTATGTTAATGTCAATAATATTTCAAATTGTTTATTAATTATTTTAATTTTTCTTTTAAATTTTTAGGGTGTTTAATGGTCTTTGAAACCATTGGAATTGGAGATTCAGTCTTCTTTATTCCCTTCAAATGTAACTTAATATTTTATATTTATTATGTTTATTTAATAAAAGTTTCAAATAGTTGATTAATAATTCTTTTTTTGTAGGGTGCCTTACAAGAAGCAATACTTGGTGGTTGATTCTGCTTTATTATGTTTTATATTGTTTGCTTCTGTTTGATATTGCTTGCTTCTACTTGATATTTGTAAGGGTTTGGTAAAGTCGAAAATGTTTGGCACTGTTGGCCATCGAATTCTCTTTGGCTTTACCACTGATTGTATGTTTTCTTAATGCAGGATGATTGCTGAATTAATGCAATGATGCTTGCTGAATTGGTACATTGATGCTTGTCGGTTGTTGATGTCTATTACTCACTGATGCCTTGTAAATTATTGTTGTTGGTCTGACTTAAATCAATTTTTGAACCTTATAAATTCTTATCTAAATAGTTACTCATATGGAATTATGTTGGTGGCATTTTGGTTTTTAAAGCTAAAAAGTTGCCCATAATTAAACATTAGCAGCATTTAGGTATAAAGGCTCGATGATGATATTTCTGGTAGTATAGTTAGGCTTTTAGCCTTGTAAAACCTTAGCTATAAGGTCTGAGAGCATTTATTTCAACATAAATTTATTTTGTTTAGTTGATTTTATTGTAATTTTAGTGTATTCAAGTGTAATAAAATTAACTTCATTTATAAATTTTTTGTTTTAGTATTTGTAATGTTATTCAAGTTTCAAATATTTAATAAGTTTATCATTTCAACTAATATATTTTTATTTTAAAATTTCAAGTTAAGTTATACTTAAGTTATTAATCAATTTTCACATTAAAAGTAAATTAGATTTATGAATATTTTAATTCAATTTATATAATTTAATAAAATTATGTTCAATAAGACAATATTTAAATTTAATTTAGTGATTATAAATAAAATTTATAATATAAGAATTATAATTAATAAAAAGAATTGGAATTAATATAAAAACTAAATTTATAGTATTCAAATTATAATTAATCTAAAAACTAAATTTCAAAAAGTGATCATATTAATTTAATTATTATAAGTTTATTATAAATTTAAAATAACATAATTATATTAATTGTAACTTATTACTTATAAGTGTTGAAAACATTTTGATGTTTCGATATAACAAATTAAGTTTAAATGAATTTTAAGATTTTACAAATGATTTTCTAAGAATATTTGATTTAATTAATCGAATATCAAATTATTACTCCAAGTCTTTCAAGATCAATTTCAAACCTTACTAAATGTGTAAAATTGTGTTTTATACTTAAACTATTTTTGAAACAATTTTCACAAAGTATTTTGAACCAAAATAAGCCTAAAATCAATTTTTCAAAGTGATGCACCAATCCATGCATCGATGCATCATGGATTAAATTGAATATCGAATGCATTTTATGCATCGATACACTCAGTGCATTTGATGCATTGATGCACTCTGGCTATTTTGAAACATCGAATGCATTTTATGCATCGATGCACTCTTAGTGCACCGATGCACTAAGGGTCTAACGGTCAAAATATTTGAATTTTACACTGATGCTCTAATGCACCATGGGTATGCATCGATGCACTGACGCTTCCAACTACTTTAATTAATTGTTTTCACACTTAAACGGCTCTATTGACTCCACTAACCATCCCCAACGTTCAGAATCATTTGAATGAGTATTTAAACAAACTTAGAAGCCATTGATCAATAACAAGAAACAAAAAGAAAGAAGAATCAATAGAGAAACAAGAGAGAAAGCATCAAACATCAAGTTTGTGCAATTCAAGCCAATTTTCCTTTCAATATTCATTTTTCTTTCAAGAACACTATTTGTGATCATTTGTAATCATCTTTGAGTGTTCTTATTTTGTTCTAGAATTGTGCAAACATATTGCCTTGTGAGGTTTTTCCTTGTAAGTTTGCAGATTTGTAATCTTCTCTTTGAGAAAGAGTGTTCTCAAGAATTGGGGTATATTCTTGAGGGAGTTGTAAGGTTATCTCTTTGGCCTCAAAAGAAAGAACAAATTAGTGAATTTGTTGAAAAAACCTTAGTGTGGATAGCTAAGGTAGTGGACGTAGACTTTGGTTGAGAAAGTCGAACCACTCTAAATCGCTGTGCAAATCTTTTCAATTTTCTGCAAAAGCTTCCACCAAAATTTTAATTGCCAATTCACCCCCCTCTTGTCCGATTCCATCAATCGATTAACTCAACAATAAGTCAGAATAATATCATATCACTTTAATAACATGTCGGATCATTTACAGGTTGAGTTAATTACAGGTCAGGTTCATAACAGGTCAGGTTGAAAACAGGTCGGGTAATACCAGTAATTTACCAGGTCAATCTCGAGTTTGGGTTCATATCAGTTGGATGCAGTTCGGGTTCGGGTATCATATTTTCGGTTCAATTCGGGTTCAGGTCGTTCTCAGGTCGGGTGCAGTTCAGGTTCAGATCCATAATTTCCAGGTCCAACTCGGGTTCAAGTCAACACCAGTTTCGACTCGAGTCGGTTTCGGATAGCCACAGCGCAAGTCAAAAATAATTTGACTCGAGTCGATTTCAATCAGTTTTACAGGTCATATCATCTTTTTACACTCCTATTTGTCAACCATCGTTATCACCTTTTTCTTTTTTGCTTGGAACTAAATGCAATTCAAATTAAGGGACTGTTTGTTTGCCTCTTAACGGAATCATTCAGCGCTGAATGTTGAACCGTTCAACATTCAGCGCGTTTGTTTCGTACCTCTGAATGATTCAGTACTGACTGATTAGCAAAACAGTTCTGAATGATTCAGCACAGAAGTACATTCTGAATGATTCAGAGCCATTATCAAACATCATGTCATATTCAAAGCTAATTCATACAGAGCATTTGAATCATTCAACATTTGAATCATTCAACATTTGAATCATTCAGCGCTTAATTATGAAGTAAACAGCCCCTAATATTAGTACAGGAAAGCCAAGGCCAAAAACTCATAAATTACCTTTTTGAATTTGTTTTCTTTTTCCACTTGTGTGCAGTGATAATAGGACTGTTTTAGCCAGTTTTTCAGTCTGCTGGTGTGAGTGAGGTGCAGGTCTTAATGGCAGTTTTAAATATCCCATAATTTCATACAACCACCACACAATTAATGTTTGAGGATTTATTCCATTTCCTAATAAATTGTTTCGATCTCACCCTAAAACAATTATTTCTATTCGGCCTTGCAGCAAATGCAGAAGCCCTTCATATTTACAGCTTCACCTGCATCTACCTTTTCATATTTTTGCTTGCATGTTTTTTCCATGACCGCAGCTTATATTATTGTTGCTTCTAGTTGTATGCTGTGTATCAAAATCATAGGTACAAAATATGTCCATTTGGTTAATATTGCGGCTATCTTTTCCAAGTGGGTTAAGATCTATCTAGTCCACTATTTTTCAATACATAAAAATATCTAGGTATATACCATTTATAGATTGCTTAAAAGCAATGGGTAGGAGCTTCAATTCTCTCAGATCACTCTCTCAATCAGATATCCCAAGAGTTTTTTGTGCCCTTTTCTTTTGTGTTAATTACCCTAATTGAAATTAATCCATATGAAAACTCATTAGTGATATTAATAAAATCGAATGCTATTTTTTAAAAAAATTCGGGTTCACAAATATTATTTTATAATGATTTATATTATAAACAAATACTTAAAATATACTCTCTTTTCATCTAACTACCTAAATTATTTTTTGGTTAAAAGAAATATCTTAATTTATTTTTTTGATCAAAATAGTCACCTAAAGTATTTTTGGTCAAAATAGATACATAAAATATTCAAAATTTTTCATCTAAAATATAAAAAAGTTTACGTGTGATATTATTAAAGAATAATTTAGGTATTTAGATGGAAAAAAATTAAATACTTAAAATACCTATTTTAATAATAAAAAAATTAGGTACATATTTTGATTAAAAAAATAAGTTTATATACTTATTTTGACCAAAAATATACTTTAGGTACTTAACTGAAAAAATTGATATATTTTAGATGCTTATTTGTTATATAAGCCTTTTATAATCACTCTATACTCTTTAATATAATTTGACCCATATAAAAAGAATGTAATGACTATACCATACAACACCTGAACCAAAGTATGAGGACAAAATGGCCAAGAAAACAATAGCAATGGACATTCACCTTATGTTTTAAAAAAGATGAATTTGAAAATTCATCCCTATAAAATACCGAGTACTGCCTAAACATTTCTAACATAAACAATGTCGAAGATTTGTGAATCCCCACCAGTTTTGATCAATAGAGTAATGTTCAATGTGCATAATATCTCATGGAGCCAACCAGCACTTGAAATAAAAATAAAAAAATAAAATAAAAACCCTGGCTAGTATTTCTGGATAACAACTGAATTAGCAATGCCGGCCTGCTCTACAGTTTGGTCCAAATCAGTCAGTTGTTTAGGAGGGAAACCCATTGTCTGCAACTGGTAGTTTCTTGCACCACCGGGCCCTGATGCATCGATGAACCCACGGACATCTCTGATCGTATGATGGTAATTGAAGCGTGAGATCATGCGTGTACCATCCGATAACCTTAGCTGAATAGAGGTTGTTGGCAATGATGAATCCACAACCAACCCCATAGACGGGGTTGGTGCAGTGGTGAAACTACCGGCAGCAGCAGCAGTTGGCTCAGAGGGAGTAGGGCTTGAGCTGCTGCTACTGCCTAGAGTTCTTCCAACACCCTGAAACGCACCTTGGGTCTTCTTTGGTTCCTGCATGAAAACAAGGGCAGAAAGTTAACATAATTGCAGAAACAGGTAAAAGCACTGAGATACAAAGAACTAGGAGAAATAATGGGCTTACAGAATAGTTTTCATCCCGTCTAAGGAGGTGAAGTTCCACTTTTGTTATCGGATCAGCTGGTTGAAGTTCTCTTGGACATTCAGACCTCATCACACTCTGCATTCAGAGTAGACCAAGAACAAGCACATTAGTAATCTATACCGAACAAGAACTAGGCAGAAACACAAACGCACACGCATGACACTGGTAAAATTGAACTTATCGAGAATGCCCAAGATTGTTCAAACATGTAATCACATCAATTTTACCTAAAAACGAAACTTCTGTTTCTCGGTTCCTGAGTCAACTAACAAATACATATAAATAGCAGCAAATAAACACAAGAACCATTGGAGAAGGCACCAGAAACTTTGTTATCAAGAAGCTAAGTCATGAAGCAACATTAATGATTAACCCTAAAGCTAATTGATATGGCTGTCCCTTTTTCCCATATGTATGGGATAAGGGGAGGTAAGATAGTAAGCTACCCCCAACACCAGGTTGAGAGCAGCTTCCGTAAGAGACCTCCGAATTATGAAATGCCCTCCATGGGACTCGATCCAACGACCTCAAAGTTAAGAACCTTGTGCTCTACCAACTGAGCTGGATGGCCATTTCTCCTAAAGCTAATTGATATAAAACCAGAAATCTAAAAAGCACAACCCTATGTCCAAAACAACTAAATTTGAAACTCGTCAAGCACGCATATATATAAAATATATCAAATATCAGAGTAAATTGTACACGATTGTATATCAAATATACCTAATAACAAAATTGTACCTCCATGAAAGAAGCATTGGCAGGATCATTGAGTTGACGCAAAGGCCCATCATCAATTGTAAAACCATTCCTCCAGAAAGTAACAGTGTGATTGACAACTTCAGGTGGTGGTGGTGGAGCAGGTGCCACGGTTTCTCCAGTGAGTAATCTCGCCGTCCCACTGAAGCTTCTCGTGCTCGAAGACGATGGTCGGAAGTAATCATCAGATCCTTCCTCTGCTCCTGCTTGTCTCGCTTGATTAAAAATCGAATCCACATCCTGATGCTTCGAAGGATCTCGAACCACCATCCCACTGCTCACGCAGATAAACAAATTAAAGAAGCAAAACAAAAATTCATAACAAAAAGTGAAGGCCAAGGTAAGAGAATTATACCTTTTCTCACCACCGGTGAAATAATCCTGGCCTTCATCCGAATCGCTTTCGGACCCACCAGGAGGGGACCGGTTCAGATCGGCGAGGGTACGAACGCCACGAGCGTTGCTGCCGTTGCTACCAGACGGTTTCTTATCAGCGTTGCGGCGCGACCTAAGCGTATAAGGGGGGCGCGAGGGGCGGGCAGGAGAAGGCGAGCGGGACCTAGAAGGCGATTGCGAGGGAGAATAATCAGCAGAATCAGAGGGTGAGGAAGTCGGGGAGTTGTTAACGGCGCCGGTAACGGGAGGCGCAATTGAGTGCGGTTGGTGTGCGGTGGTGGAACTGCTGTCGAAGAAAGTGGAAACGGCGCCGTCTAGGTCCCACTGGTGGGATTCCAAAAAGAAGAGGGCTTCTTCTTTGGAAGAAGAAGTGATTTCGATGAAGGAGTTGATCAAAGCCGCGTTTTGATCGGCGGATGGGTTATTGGGATTTCCTTGCTGCTGAGTTTCGTGTTCCATTCTTCAATTCTTTTTCTGATAAAATTAGAAAGGACAAGCAGAACTGGTTGAATGCCCCTTTACAAAGTAACATGCAGGTGTATTTATGTGGTTAATTATTTTTATTAATTACTTCTACTTTTTTTTTATATATTATCTTATGATATTAATAATTTATTTTATAATACAAGTGTATTTTAAAATAATAAGATATTGCTTATATAAAACTATGGATAGTTTCAATTATAATAAAATTAAATTTAAGATGAATGTAAGGTGTAATTTAATATTTATTAATTGTTGTCTATTTAAATTTTAAAATAACCGTAGTATAATAATAAAAAGAATATTTTAAGTTATAATGAAGTATAATTCAAAATGAATATGAGGTGTAATTTTACATTTTATTGAACTTTATTTATTATTTAATTTTAATAAAATTAATATTTTTATTTCTAACTAATATAATAAAATATAGTTATATATAATTTTAAATATTATATTTTTAGATAATATTTAATTTATTAATTAACATTATAAATTTTTAATTACACTTACACGTGAGAAAATATGAAATATATATATTACTTATTTAAATAAAAAATCAATTAGTATCATAATATTATAAGTAATTATAATTATTTTTAAACTAAAACTGAAATAAAAATATTTGATTGAATTCAGTTTAAATTTCATAAACTTAATTCAACTAAAAAATTAAAATAATATTTAAATAATAAAATAATATTTTTTAACTTGAATAACTTAATTTTTTTACTTGATTCAATTTTTTTTTTACTCCTTGAATAATGAATACTCGTCCCCATAAAAGATTAATTAAAAAATTGACAAAATAAACTTCAAAATCTAAAAATACATTAAAAAGAGAAAAAATAAAATTTTTAAATCACTACAATAATAAAAGAGGGAGAATATTTGCATTTAAAAATATTTAAAGTTAAAACCTCATATACTTGGATTGATATAACAAAATCTTAACCAAATATAAGACTCCTATAAACCCAACGAGAACATAAAGCATATGTAAAGAAATAAGTCATTGATTAAAAAATGTTTAATGGACTACCCTCTCAACGAGAATATAAAGCATATGTTTAACAGCTGTTTTATTATATATACTTTATTCATCTATAAAAACAACTATATTATTGTTCGGGACATGGAGTGGAGTAATATTATGTTGAAACGGATTGCTCGGATGTCACACCCCAATTTCAATTTCAATTTTCAATTTATAGATTAATAAATTGATTCTAAGGATTAAACTGTAATTTTTTGAAATTTTTAGATCAAGTTTAAATATATAGGAAGTTAAGTACTAGACTTGTAATTTTTCGATACTCTCCTCACACCAAAAAGAAAATAAGATTTGATGGTTTAGGGGTTTGAATCGTGACCTAAGGTCGTGGATACTAATGCCCTAGCCACCAAATTAGGCTGCTATTTGGGCATAATAATAAAATATATATTTTATAATTGGTTGAGTTATAACCCAAAACCAAAGGCAAATACCCCAATTCGTGAAACCATTCCCAGAATCTTCGGTCAAGTTTTTCCCGTCGACTCGCCCTCCTTGTCTACTGCTGATGCGTGTCACTCCCGACCATTTGAAGCGTCGGGCCACTGCAAAGCAAACCCAACCCACTCGCCGAATACCCCCATGTCCGTCGTGAAAAGCGTTCGAAAACGGGGCGAAAAAACCAACTTCTCTCCCCTCGATTTTCACTTTTTTTTGACCGCTCCAGCCGTCGGTGAGCATCATGCCAGTCAACATTGTACTCCCCAGGAGATTCCGACTGAAGCCGTCATCCACCGTCGTCGTTTTGTCCGTCTGCGTTAAGTTTATCATCGCCGTTAATCGATTATTTCGTTGTGTTTTGTTTGGATTTTTTGTCGAATTTGATGAATTTTGGTAAGTGGACACGCGAGGAGCTATCGACCGATCACCCCAAGAAGATCAATGTATACTTTACTATCCTATGCATGCTTTATGGTACATATTGATGATGTTAATGCTATGATTGGAGTTATTGGTCAATTACATAGAGTAAATTATTGATGGACTTGAATTAAATACGGTCTTGTCGCAACCGTCTTTCAGTTGGGCCCCGGAATTGGGCTCGACTTAGAAAAATGTGGATGGAGTCGCCACGATCATTTATTTAAAAATAATGGGTTGAGATACCCTACTTCTTACCTGATCTGCGTCTTACCAGAACTATATCGGGCTCGGGAGTCGGTTACGGTCAAGGAAGGATTAGCACCCTTGAACCGCCCTTCGGTACTACGTAATTTCCAGTTGTCTTAATTAAGAAAATGTAAATTTAAATTAAAATGTAAAATGACGGTCCAAATTACTTACCTCAGATTGCTTAAATTGTACCCTTAGAAAATCAAGACACATATTAGATAAAGAATGCAAATAAAAACACCTAAGGTAAAATGGAAAACAATAAGATGGAAAATACAGAGTATAAAAAATAATGTATATGGTGGTAATGATAAAGATATAACAATGGGAAAAATAAAAGGATATATAATAGTAATAAATATAAAAACTAAAAACTAAAATATCACCATAATCAAATTGTACATGTAAACTAATATAAAAATAATGAAAATGAAAAGAAGAAAATATATATAACAATAATAAAAAAAAAGTGTAACATAATAGCGTAAAAGTAAACACATAAAGTTAATACGAACATATAATAACATTAATACCCTTTATATAATAGCTAAATATAAGAGGAGGGAAAAAATATAATAATAATAAAAAAAATAAATAATGTAAATAATATAATAATAAAGAGTAAAAAATAGGGTAAAATACAAAATGTGTACATATATATATATAATATAACATATAAATGATAATACTATACTAATAATAATGTATACGAATGTGTAAAAAAAAATAATAATATAAAATATATATAAATATTATAATGTAATATAAAAAGAAATTAAACTAATATCCCGAGAAAGGACTAAAATGAAAGAAATTGCAGGCTAGAGGTCAAAATTCAAAGCAATATCGGGGTCAAGATAAATCTTTAGAAGCTGCGAGGGACCAAAAGGGTAGTCTACCCTAATTATTAAAAACACGTGGGTCACCGGCATAAAATCAAAATCGTTTCAGAAAAAACTTATTTCCTTCATTTGATACAACCCAAAAAACCGTGAGCCTTTCCCCATTTCACAGCATTCTCCGCTGTTCTTCGAGATTGAAGAACAGGGTCCCTGATCCCAGATTGGCCACCATGGCCACTTCAAGCCGCCTCGCCGGCCGCCGTAGAACGGCGCCGGCCGCCGTTCATCGGCGGCAAACCTGAAAAGTTTCGTTTTTTCTGAAAGCCCACAACACCCTCGTCACTAAAAACACCACCATTTTCTAAAATAAGCCTCGGGGGTGTAGATCTAGAAAGAAATTTTCGCACCCCTACTCCGGTCATCGGCTTTCAACGCTTAAATATGGGAGAGACAACATGCAAAAGAAAGAAATCACGGCCCTCATGCAGATCGACAGTAACAACGAGGTAGAGCATGCTTACCCTTTTTATTCAATTTCGAAGTTGGTACAAAATGATTTGGTTCACTGCTTTGTCTGTGTATTTTTTTTTTTGCGGCTATCCCCCATCGTAGTGTTAAATGGATCTATTTATACTGAAAAACTAACTATTTTTTAGACTCCTATTTAAATAGAACTCTAATGCGTTGTTGTTTGTTGATGATGGTGTTGGCCTCATGTGCTTTCCTTGCGCCGGAGAACTCGGACTGTTGGAGGTGAGAGTCATACGACCATGAGATTCGGGCGTGGGACGAGGCGCCGCTTGGGAGGCTAGGGTTCTGGAAACCCTAGCTCGCTGAATGGTTTGCATGCAGTGGGTCTTGGGCTGTTTTATTTTCGTGTAATGGGCCTGTAATATGTAACCCCATGAATAAACAAATAAAATATTATATTTCTATAATATAGTTTGAAATAATAAAAAATATTATAAAAACTATATCAATGAAATCGATGTCTTCAGTTCAGTTGCCCCTCTTTGCTCATTATCGATAACGAAAATGTAGCAAAGATTAAAAGACATGAATTTCGGTCATATCGAATATCCTCTGTCACAGAGTTGAAATCCGATATTGAAACTGGTTCATCAAATTGAACTAAATATGAATGACTCCCTCGTCGTGAGGTCAAGTTGAAACTGGAAAATTTTGAGCACGAAATCCTTCGTCGTGGAGTTGAAACCGAGCTCAAAGTTTCTGGCTAGTGGCCTTTGAATCGTCTTCTGGCCAAAGATACTTCGTTGTGAAGCTGAAATTGGGTAATTGTTTATTGACAACCAGCGGTCCTTCGTCGCGAAGTTGAACTTGCGCTGTCTGGAGTCCAATTCCTTCGTTGTGAAGTTGAAATTGGCTCTGAATGAAATTTTGTGACAAGCAGCGGTCCCTTCGTCGTGAAGTTGAACTTGCGTTGTCTGGAGTCCAATATCCTCCGTTGTGAAGTTGAAATTGGCTCTGAGATTGGAAAGTTGTTGTTGACAAGCAGCGGTCCCTTCGTCGTGAAGTTGAACTTGCATTGTCTGGAGTCCAATATCCTTCGTTGTGAAGTTGAAATTGGCTCTGAGATTGGGAAGTTGTTGTTGACAACCAGCGGTCCCTTCGTCGTGAAGTGAACTTGCGTTGTCTGGAGTCCAATATCCTTTGTGTGAAGTTGAAATTGGCTCTGAAATGGGAAAATTGTTTATTGACAACCAGCGGTCCCTTCGTCGTGAAGTTGAACTTGCGTTGTCTGGAGTCCAATATCCTTCGTTGTGAAGTTGAAATTGGCTCTGAAATTGAGAAGTTTGTTGACAACCAGCGTCCCTTCGTTGTGAAGTTGAACTTGTGTTGTCTCGAGTGCCACGATATTCTCCGTCGTGGAGTTGAAATCGCGGATGGCCCCTTCGTTGTGAAGTATCTTCGAGCTAGATATCATTCGTCGTGAAGTTGAAATCCACTCGAGCAAATGTGTC